ATCAAAGAAGTAAGAATAGCACTAACTAGTTTTGGCACCTACCTCAGTTGCCCACATGTGGAGGCAACCAAATGATGTCTCTCTCTCACATCCATGTTTCTCTTGCTCTCTGTCTCTCCCCCTCCCTTCCACTCTCTCCAAAGAAGTAAGAACAGAAAGAAGGCTTAGGCTACTTAGTTTTGTGTATGTTTTTTTAAATTTTTTTTTAATCCTCACTTGACAATATTTTTTTCCATTGCTTTTCAGAGAGAGTAGAAGAGAGGGAGGAGAGAGAGAGAGAGAGAGAGAGAGAGAGAGAGAGAGACATTGACTGGTTGCCTCCTGCACATGCACCTGCAATCCAGGTGTGTGCCCTTGACTGGGAATTGAACTGGAGACCCTTCAGTGCACAGGCTGACACTCTCACCATTGAGGAACACTGGCCAGGGCTGGCTCATACATTTTGAAAATAGGTGATTCCTGACTTATGATGGCTTAACTTATGATTGTTCAACTTTATGATGGTGTGAAAGTGATATGCAGTCAGTAGAAACTGTACTTCAAATTGTGAAGTTTGGTCTTTTCCCTGCTCTAATGATAGTGGTATCTATCTATATATATATAAAAGCCTAAGCGACCGTTATGACCAGTCAACCGAACAACCAATTGAACGGTCGCTATGATGACACACTGACCACCAGGGTCAGACGCTCAACACAGGAGCTGCCCCCTGTGGTCAGTGTGCTCCCACAGCCAATCTCTGGCTGCTGGCTATTCTCCCACGGTCCCTTTCTCCTGCGGTCCCTTCCCCTGGCCGGCACCAATCTGGCCAGGTCAAGGGACCCTCCCCCCCCCACACACACACACACACCTGTGCATGAATTCGTGCACTGGGCCTCTAGTAATATTATAATGCTGAGCAGTGGCAGTGAGATAATTTTGCCCTACTATAGGCTCCTGTAAGTGTTCTGATCATGTTTAAGGTAGGCTAGGCCAGTGGTCGGCAAACTGCGGCTCGGCAACCCATGTCTTGCAAGCCACATGCGGCTCTTTGGCTCCTTGAGTGTGGCTCTTCCACAAAATACCGGCTCTTCCACAAAATACCAACTTCTGCACATGGGCAACGAAGTTTCAATCGCACTATACGTGCGCACCCACACGTGGTATTTTGTGGAAGAGCCACACTCAAGGGGCCGAAGAGCCGCATGTGGCTCGCAAGCCATGCTTTGCCGACCACGGGGCTAGGCTAAGCTATGATCTTTGGTAGATTAGGTGTATTAAATGCATTTTTTATTTATGATATTTTCAGTTTATGATGGGTTTATTGGGACATAACCCCACCGTATGTTGAGGAACATCTGTATTTCTAACCTATACATCAAAAGTCGCTAACTCAGGCGGCTACAGAGGCCACATGTAAATGAGTGACAATCAAGCCTGGGTGTACTGAAGAATGCATGCCCCATGCAAGGAGAAGAGCCGATTGTTACCTTGTTATCTTGTGGAATGAGGGCTTTGGATTGCCAGATCTGATTTTTGGAAAGCCACAAATTCAGAGATTTATATGGTGCCTTCTGTTGGAAGGAATTCAGTTAAATGTGTGCCTGCGCGCGCGCGCGCGCGCGCACACACACACACACACACGGAAACTAATAAAACAGGGCAAATGAGCTGCATTGGCCCATGAGCTGCCAATTTTCAACCATTGCTCTATAGTATTAACATAACTACACAAGTTGTCCCTTAAAATGTGCTTGCCGTGAAAAATATAAGACTAACAGCTTTTTTTTTCTCTCACTAGGATGGTGCGCCCAAGGCTAACCATTTATGTTTGTCAGGAATCCTTGCAGTTGAGGGAGCAGCAGCAACAGCAGCAGCAGCAGCAGCAACAGCAGCAGCAGCAGCAGAAGCATGAGGATGGAGACTCAAACGGTACTTTTTTCGGTAGGTCATTCGGGACAAGGAAAGATATGAAAAAAAGGTAAAGAGGTTACTTACAAGCATGTGTGATGGGAATTTATCAAATAGCAGATTGAAGCAATTTGCTAGAAGTGATGGTAATAGCTTGAGTCCCTAATATATGCCAGACACTATTCTCCACACTTTTTTACACATTTGAATTTTTACAACTAGTATCTCCTCTTCGAAGTAGATTTTATTATCTCCCACATTTAGGTTAGGAAAATGAGACTTAGGGATCTTACGTAACCTGCTCTCAACCACAAGAAAGTGGTTGAGTCAAGACTCAGGATTTGACTTTGAGTCCTTCAGAAATTGAGCATTCCTAGTGATCAGATTACCAATCAAGGGCACAGATAAGAACAGATAAAGTTTAAGAACAGATAAACTGTGTACTGACTGCCATTGCTTTCTCCTTTTTGCAGTGTACCATGCCATCTACCTAGAAGAACTGACAGCTGTTGAATTGACAGAAAAAATTGCTCAGCTTTTCAGCATTTCCCCTTGCCAGATCAGCCAGATCTACAAGCAGGGGCCAACAGGAATCCATGTGCTCATTAGTGATGAGGTAGGTTTTCAGTACAGCTGAGTCACCAGATGACAATGAAGTTGTCAGGGCATATAGCAGGAGCAAGAGCAGTTCTGTTGGGGCAGAGTGCTCTGTTTTCTAGACCAGAGGTTCCCAGATGTTTTTGCTTACCTCCTAAAATTATTATTTAAAAATATGTATCTCTTTGCACATTTTTAGGGACTTAAAATTTTTTCTCAAGTTTATTTATTTTTATTTTTTATTCTCACCCAAGGATATTTTTTCCATTGACTTTTAGAGAGAGTGGAAGGGAGGGGAGAAGGGGCAGAGAGAGCGGAGAGAGAGAGAGAGAGAGAGAGAGAGAGACAGACAGAAACAGAGAGAGAGACAGAAACAGAGAGAGAGACAGAAACAGAGAGAGAGACAGAGAGAGAGAGAAACAGAAACATTGATTGGTTGCCTTCTACACACACCCTGACCAGAGCCTGGGATTGAACCTGTAACCAAAGTACGTACCCTTGACTGGGAATTGAACCCGAGACCCTTTGGTCCGAGGGCTGACCCTCTAATCATGAGCAACATGGGCCAGGGCTCTTTTAAGCTTAAATGAAGTTGCACAGGATGCTATTTCTGGGGATATTATATGACTTTTTTTTTATTATTATATGACATTTAAAAAATGAAATGGTTGCCTGGCTGGAGTGGCTCAGTTGGTTGAGTGATGTGTCCTATACACGGAAAGGTTGACAGTTTGATTCCGTCAGGGCACATACCTGGGTTATAGCATGTTTGGAAGGCAACCAATCATTGTTTCTCTCTCTCCCTTCCTCTCTAAGCATGTCCTCAGGTGAAGATTAGAAAAAAAATTTTAATAAAATAATTCTGAAATGGTTCCTTCACTGTTCTAACTATATTCCATGTAACCTAAATACAAGTTATTTAATACCATCTGTTTAAAAGAAATACATGAATATATTTTTTAACAGAATTTTTATATAATTTCCTTGAATTCATATTTCCATTTAATTCTCCATATAATTTTATCTTACCATAATATTTTTATTCTTGAACATTTTTTATTAATTTTTTATCATATTTAATTGAGATAAACATTTGCTTCAACAAAAAAATTGTTTTAGGCCCAGGCAATGTGGCTCAGTGGTTGAGCATTGACCCATGACCCAGGGGGTCACTGTTCAATACCCTATCAGGGCACATACCTGGGTTATGGGATTGATCTTCAGTAGGGGATCCCCAGCCGATCAATGATTCTGTTTCATCATTGATATTTTCTATCTCCCTCTCTCTTCCTCTCTCTGAAAAAAAAAAATCAATAAAAAATTTGTTTCAGTAAAATTGATAGATTATTTCTTCTGAATAGAATTAACACTATTAATTATACAGTTGATTAAAACAACATAAATGTATTACATGTTTTGACGAGTAATTATTAAACACATGAAGAAAAAAATTATTATAAATGCATCTATTAATGAGATGGATAGGATTGTTTGATTCTCTACCCCCTGTCTCACACACAATTAATTCATCTATAGATGAATACTGCCTATAGAATGAAATAGAGTTCAGCATCAGTTCCATCTGTTTTTCCCTCTAGATGTAAGTGTTGTGGAACCTGGTTCATGTTTATTGACTGACAGCAGTGGATGGGGTTTTGTTATGACAACATTGCTCTATTTCTTTTTTAACTTCTGAGTTATGTGCCAAAAATTACATAGTAATGTTGTCAAAAATTATTTTGAATCATCTGTCACTTGACAATTTGTGATTAGGTCACTCCAATTCTGGTGAAAAGAAAGGATTGGTAACCATGTGACCCCCACTAAGTCATTAGAGTTTACAGTTGCAGTTATCCTTGGGCATTCTGGAAGCTTTTATACTCAGGGCAATGCATTTTGGTAGGATTGCAGGAAGGTGAAACTCATGCCTTTATTTTATAAAATGGGCAAAGGGAGTTTGAGAAGGAAAACTGAAGAGGTTTTCAGGTAGTTTTAGAAAAGAGTAGACATGGAAGTTGGAGAACTAGAGGTCAGTTCTCGCATATGGGCCTCTCAGTGTCTGTGTGCCCTTGGAAAATCTTGGGGTTAACCCAGGAAAATGCATACTCCAATTTTAAGATCAGTGTTTTAAACGACTTAGCTTTTATTTTATTTTTTTTTAATATATTTTATTGATTTTTTACAGAGAGAAAGAGAGAGAGATAGAGAGTTAGAAACATCAATGAGAGAGAAACATCGATCAGCTGCCTCCTGCACATCCCCCACTGGGGAAGTGCCCACAACCCAAGTACATGCCCCTGACCGGAATCGAACCCGGGACCTTTCAGTCCAAAGGCCGAAGCTCCATCCACTGAGCCAAACCGGTTTTGGCACGACTTAGCTTTTAAAACTTAGAAACTAAATGGGAGAAAACAAAGCAAAGGGTTATTTTTCACTTAAATCTAACATTATAAAAAGCCACATAAGCAAAATAAATACAACAAACCCAAGTTTTTTAAAATCAGCAAATTTTCTTGCTTTTTTTTTTCAGATGATACAGAATTTTCAGGAAGAAGCCTGTTTTATTCTGGACACCATGAAAGGTAATACAATAGTAAAACAAATACCTTTTTCTAAGGAGCTTAAGAGCTTTTTTTTCATACTTCTTTGAGGAGAGAGGGAAGGTATGAATCACCATATTTGAGGCAGATAAAGTGACATAACATTAGAGGTGTACCTTTATATGAATGGCTTTTTGTCATTGTCAGAATAGACAAAGTATAACTGATGATTCTCTGCCATTCTCTTTCGCCTTTCATGGACAAATGAGGAAATTGAGGCATGTTTTTATAATGCAAATTTATTATAAGTATTCTGTGACAATTAATACGTATGCTGCTCTTTGCTCTGCTGTGTGTGTGTTGTTTTTTTCTCAAAAGAACCTAACTGTACTTTTTTCTTTCTCATGTGTCTTAAAGATGACTAAAGATTACTCTCTCTTTCTTTTTTTTTTTCTTTTTTTACAGCAGAAACCAGTGATAGCTATCATATTATACTGAAGTAGGTGTGGGCATTCCAACCTCACTGGCTGCTGCTTCCTTCACCGCTTGGAAACTCCTCTCTCGAAGGGGTTGCAAATGGAGATTTGAAGGTCTGCAGGAATCTGACTGTGTGGGGGGAGTCCAGGTCATGGAGGCAGCAGCTCAGCCATCTGTGCGGGCCCCAGCTCTTGTGGCATACACAGATTACTGCCCAACATGCATTTCTGCAGCTGTTTCTTAGTTAAAATTTCTGGACTCTGTTGTTATTGAATATCAGTAGAAGCTCCATTTCATTTGGGGTGTATGTAGGACATAATGGTGATGATAATTGTGTGATGTTTAATGGAAAGATGTTAAATTTTGTGATATGGAGCTCTTGTGTAATTTTTTTCTAATATAAAAAGTGAACATCTATATTCATAAGACTAGAGCCTCAATCTCTTTTGCATCAAACAAACTGAGTTTTACCACAGTCAGACCCTGAAAACCTCATCAAAGAGAATTTTTCTTTTGGTTCCCCTGTAATATTATGACTAATATTAATTTTAGCTAACTTTTATGGGGCATTTATTTGTGCCAGGCAGTGTGAAAATTCTTCTAATGGATTAGCTTGTTTAAATCCTCTTAATAATCCTATATGAAGAGGTATAATGATCCCTAATTGAAGATGAGGAAATGGAGACATGTAGTGGCTAAGTAGCTTGCTGAGTAACGGCCAGCTAGCAGGCAGTGTGATGCTGAGATCCAAAACCAGGCAGTCTGGTTCTTAAAAATTGCCACTCATTATGGCCACCCTTGCAGTACCCTGCGCTTGTCATCATTTCTTACTGTGGCTCTTCTGGTGAATAGGACATAACACTGAGTGAGAACTGAGTATTTAACCACTGAAAGGGACACACCACAGCTAATGCACAAATCAGAATCTACAAAAAGTAAAAGCGTAAGTGCTTTGTAAACACCATCAGTTACCAGATCACAGAATTTGAGGTGATGAAAACTAGGGATTTTCTGTAATTCCCAAAATTCACTGTTCTTGAATGACCTTCTCAAACTATTTATTAACGAGATAAGCTAACCCCTCCTTTTTCTTTCTCCTCTGCATTTTCTCTTGGTATAAGAAGTTCTTTTACTCCTGTAATGTTCCTTTATTTAAGCTTTATAAGAAATCCCTTCTGATTCCATTCACATTCTTCCCATATATTTTTGTTCTTTCTTAAAGAATGATTGTGTGTTTACATGTGTAAGACTATAGGTCGTTTTTTTTTTCACATGTAAAGTTTTATCCAGAAATCCCTTTACACATGTGTTGAGTTGAGAAAAGATAATGTTCAAAGATTATGTACTGGATTTGGATGTGTGTGTTTTTAAAGCATTTGATAAAGTTTAAATGTTTTTATACAGATTTTTGTTCATTAAAATCAACCTGCAACATAGTCTGTTTCTTTTGATTGGAAACAAATTGAGAACTTTGAAACTAGAAAATTAGGTCAACTAACTTGTTTAGAACTGACCTAGGCAACTTGGCATCTTAGACCAAAATCTTTTTTTTTAGTGAATGGTTACCAGGTGTCTCCGTTTGAGGGCGACATTTCTGGTATACTATATTCCTAAGACTGGTTCTCAGCTTCAGGGAAGTAGCTCTCTCAGCAGGCTTCTACTGTATTGCTTTTGTTTTTTTTCTATTCTGTCTGAATGATGTTAGGAGGGTTGGAATAGATGACTTAAGATCCCTTCTAAATCTGAATCTGTGACTCTGGTTTACTGCAAATGATACATAGAATTCTATTAATATATTTACTATAAATTTACACTTACTAATTTTTACTTGGAGTTAGGGTGTTTTTTTAGAGTAGTCTTCAAATTTATAGGAATGAATTCATACAAGTTTGTAATCACAGATCCTTAAGTTGTCCATAAAATCTCTTAGGTTTTCTTTAGCTTCAGAAAATATTTGTAGTGCCAATCCTATATAATAATCCTATATAATAAAAGCCTAATATGCTAAGTGTCTGGTCGTCCGGTCAACCAATCAAAGCATAATATGCTAATGATATGCTAAGGCCACTCAACCACTCGCTATGATGTGCACTGATCACCAGGGGCCAGACAGTTGACCGGTTGACCAATCACTATGATGTGCATTGACCACCAGGTGGCAGACGTTCCAACTGGTAGGTTAGCTTGCTGCTGGGGTCTGGCCAATAGGGACTGAGCGAGACATGGGACCCCTCCAGGGATGTTGGAGAGCCGGTTTCAGCCTGATCCCACTGGCCTGGCCGAGGGATCCCACTGGTGCATGAATTTATGCACTGGGCCTCTAGTACTATATAATTGGTAAGAATTGGTATTGTGATTATTCACCTTCTTTAAAAATGGCATCTGTTCACTGTTTATCCTTTCTATTAAATCAAAATTTGAAACTATCTTTTTCATTATGAAAGTTATGCACAAAGTGATAAATTCAAATAATAAAGAATAATATAACTTATTATTTAACCTAGTTCCATTCCACTTTAAAAATGAAATCATCATTTTTAAAAAGTACCCCTCCATAGCTCTCTTTCTCTTTTTCTCTCTGCTCTCCCCCACACACACTCAGATGGGTTCATGTAATAACTAATAGTCTGCAATTTGCTTTTTGAATTTATATAACATATCTTGAACATAGTTCTATATTAGAATTTATAGTTCCATATCATTCTTTTTAAAAAATTGCCATTCTCATGCTCTGGCAGGTGTGGCTCAATTGTTTGGTGCATCCTCCCATATACTGAAAGGTTGTGATTGGGTTCCCAGTCAGGGCTCATACCTGGGTTGTGGGTTTGATCCCCAGTTAGGGTGCATACAGTAGGCAACCAATTGATGTTGAACCATCAACTCTTTGTCCGAGGGCTGACACTCTACCACTGAGCCATTCTGGCCAAGGGGCATTGTCAGAATTTTTTTGCATGTATCTCTCAGATATATTCCTAGAAGTCAAATTTGCTGGATTTTACCTTTTAAACAATGTGACAGTTGCTATTTAAAATAGTTTAGTGATTCTGTTAGAGTGAGGGCATATGAGAAGATAATGTTTAGATTTTAGGCCCTCCTGAGAATAGAGTAGCATCCTATTTGATTTAACATTGTCTGTTCTGTTCCCTTGAAGTGTAATAGGTTCCATCTAGAACAGCCGTGGGCAAACTATGGCCCGCAGGCCGGATCCGGCCCATTTGAAATGAATAAAACAAACAAACAAAAAAGACCGTACCCTTTTATGTAATGATGTTTACTTTGAATTTATATTAGTTCACACAAACACTCCATCCATGCTTTTGTTCTGGCCCTCCAGTCCAGTTTAAGAACCCATTGTGGCCCTCGAGTCAAAAAGTTTGCTCACCCCTGATCTAGAAGAATCTGCTGTATAAAGACTTGGTAGTTAAAAGAGAGTTATCCTATCTAATAAAAGAACAACATGCAAATTGGCCATCACTCCAACACACAAGATGGCCACCCCTATATGGTCAAAGATTTCTGCCACAAGATGGCCAGCAGGGGAGAGCAGTTGGGAGGGATCAGGCCTGCAAGGGAGGGCAGTTGGGGGCAATCAAGCTTGCAGGGGAGGACAGTTCAGGGCAACC